AAGCCGATGCTGCGACCGCCGTTCTCGTGCTGCGACATGATGCCTTTGTCCTTTTTAAAAACCCAGCACAGTGCAGCCACGTGGGCAACATAAATAATTGGTGTGGCAACAGAGGAGAAACAGGTGGCTTGAAGTAGTCTAGATGTCTCCAAACCTTTCCTTGCTGTAAGGCTCCAGCTTCTAAAAGTGCTGAAGAAAAGCTTGTCTAAAGCTTAGTCTAAAAACGGAAAGAAAATCTCAATATTCTCTCTCCTGTATCAATGAACAGAATCCATTCCTGGTAAACCAGTCTCTGTTTGTGAACACAGAGGATTTAACACTGGCTTGTAAACAAACCAGGCGTTACATTCTCCCCTTCTGCCTCTTCATCCTCTCTCTCTCCCAGTCAACTCTCAAAAAACCCTCCAGCTCTTGGTAAGAGGGAAGCAATGGGGAAGATGAAAACTTGTCCGTTGTGTCTGTATGTGTTGGGAAGGAGAGAGGAGTATAAAGGCTAGCTCATGGATGCTGGTGAACTGAAAATGAGGGAAGTTTAGGCCTCGTGTCAGCGGTTCTGGAAACCTGGCTTGTACAACTTCTTCCTCAATGGACGTACCCATTGATGTTAGCCAAGGCAACACTTCGCGTGGAAGCTCTTGGAAGAGGATTATTTTCCTGCCTTTCCTTCTAGTATCTTGTCTAAATAAATACCAGAACTTTGTTAAGAATATCTGCTGCTGCTGCTGAGGACCCCCCCATCCCAGAGTTCCCATAGGGGAAAGATTTCAGTTTCAAGTTAGATGAAATACTGACACGAGTTCAAAAAGTTATAAATTAGTCACCAATGAAATTTGACTGCAAACTGGAAGGCTGCTTCTGGTTTCAGGAATTAAGTCCTGCAGCATCTGTCTAAACAGTGTAGCAGAGGCAAGGGTCCTGGCTGGTTTAAGATGTTGCTTGGCAAGATTACGGAAAGGGGTGTATGACAGGTTAGAGGAATGTGTAGAAAGGGTAAATTAACTTCTGGTAGTAGCCAGCATTTAGCTCTCGCCAAGGGAAGGAAGTGTTTGCTGCTCAAGTCAGCAGCAACTTCTTGGTCTCCCCTGCCTTGCTTTGAAGGTATACAGGCCATTTTCCAGCATCACAGCTCCTGCTCTTTCCCAGTAGCACGCTGTAAGCATTGCTTCTCCTCTCACTGTTGGTCCTGGCATTTGCTGTTGGGGTCTGGGCAAGGGTTTTTTTGTTTATAGTGACTGAAAAGCTCTCCTCCGAGCTCAGCCGGACCAGCAGGCTCCAGGCTGCGGCAGGGAGTCCCTGGCTGTGTGGGCTCACAGTGAAGTCGGTGGGAAGGAACAAGGTTTAGGATTTCAGAAATGCCTTTTTGCCGGTGTGCAACTTTCTTTGAAGGGATGCACCTAAAGTTTCTTTCTCCTCTTCTCCCCCCCGCCCACATTACAAAGTTTACAATGGAAGATGAACAAATTACCTTCAAACCTGCCTCCCACTCTCCTTTCCCCCCCTCCCCAAAGGTGCAACTTGGGACAGGTTTCAGTCTCAGCTAGTGGTGGTGGCATTGCTGCTGTGATCGCTCAGTCTCTCGCCTCGCTAAACTACTTTTAACTGGTTTTTTTTTAAAATGTTTAATGTGGGGCCCGGTGCCAAAATCCTTTAGCATTGTGGAGAGGTGTTGTCATCTCCTAACAAACTACTCACTGCTTCCAGGGAAGACTTATGCCGTGGGCTCCATATTTTAGGAGGCTGGAGCAATTAGTTGAAGTTATATCATTTAAAGATGTTCTTATCTCAAAGAAGCCATTGCCTGTTATTGAGTAGTTCTGGAAAATGATTAGTAAAGCATTTTTCTGTCTATTTGTATGTTCTGGCATCTGTGTAAATCCAGCTAATATTCGTATTGCCACAAATACGATTTACAGCTGAGGGTCTCTAGAGAACCCAGACAGCGATGAGTGGAGGTAGGGAGCCAAATCTTTCGCATAACTTTATTAATGTGGAATGAAAATGCTCAATAAATGGTGGTGTTTGGCGAGACCACCTAGCTAGGTGTTGGATTTAGGGGGTGTCATAGGTGGAAAAAAATGCTTGAATGCCAATAGGTGGTAGATAATTGGGTGTGTGCGCACATGATTGTCCAAAACTGAACTTTCAAGCTCCCAAGCGGGAGTAAATTTTACTACCATCTGGATTAAACCAAAGTGGCGTATCCCAAATTCTCCAGTAAGCAAAGGGTGGTGAGACACGAGCAATGCTGAGGACCCTGCTTGTGCCTCCTCCTTCTGCACACCGACGGTTTGAACCGGGAGAACCAGGGCCTGGCAGCTGCAGGAGGAGGAGCTGGTGCCAAAAAGTAGGGCTCAAAAAAAAAAAAATCGAACCCAAACCAATGGTCTGGAAAGAAGATGATTAAGATCTTGGCTGGAGGAAAGATCCTGGAAGTGAGGGCTCTGCAGGGAGATGAATGCCAGGAGATGGCGAGGGCCCTTGGGCAATCCCACCATTGGCTTATTACTAAGCAGCTTTATGTCCCAGAGGAAGACAAAACCAAACCCATTTGACACATACAGATGAGAGAACGGAATAATTTTACATACATGTAAAAGAGTATGGAAAAGAGTCTGGGTTTTTCAATTTTTTTTAAACTTTTATTTATTTTTTTAGAAAAGGAATAAACTCTGCATGGTAGAGTGTATGGTATATCATTTCAAAACAGAACAAGTGATATGGAATGGATTGTTTTCCCAAACTATTTAAAGTTGAACCTAAAATCATTTGTAAATCAACACTCATTACCATGTAAGACAAAGGCAAACAATCAACATGTTTTTTGTTTGGTACAGATTTCCTCTACCACTTCAGCCTGAATTTTCCCAGGGCTGGGGAGAAAAGGGGGGCAAATTCTGCCCGTTGTCCTAACCTTAATTGTACTGACCAAGCTTTGTGCTCTGAGATCTAGCATCATATGGCTTTATATACGTTCCTAAGTGAACAGTGCAACATCATCACCATCTTAAGTGTTTATTCCACATTCAAACTGTAACTGAACATCACTCCGAAACCCTTTCCTGCCCCCAAAACAACAACAACGAGAACAACAACGAAAAGCAGAAAGTCTCCAGCAATCAGATTTCATCCCAGAAATCTGTGTAAACTGTAGATCAGGGTTGGGTAGCAGCACAGAAGACAAAAGATGTGACAGCGTGATTCAATAGCGTCTCTAAAGACTACTGTAAGACTGTCATTCTTTAGTCTGCATCTTGCAATCACAATTTGCCTTTTCCCTGCAATACTATAAAGCAACATTTAAAAAAAAAATCAGACTCAAAAGCAAAAGGTAGAAGCCTTTACGGAAAGGTAAAGCTTCTGCTTAGCCTTGAGTGGTCACTATTAGAAACAGATCTCTGCAATCAGAAGCAAATCTTGAACGTGTATACACCATTTTGGTGGGAAGGGATGCAGCCAAGGACGGAAGCCCTCCTGGCAGACCTGCAGACCATTTTGGCTTGTAGGTCAACACCACACTGCCATTTTGGGTTGAATAAACTGGCAGGGCAGCCGTAGGCATTAGGCGCGCTCCAGGCTCTTGGCTCCTCTGTTCCTTAGCTGCACGGGGGCAGGGAGGGGGAGAAGGGAGCAGGAGAGCCGGCGAGGGCCCCCCTCCCCTTGCTCCGCAGCCAGCCAAGTGACGCGTGGGTTGCAGCGGCATGGGGTGTTGCACTGGGGAGGTAAGTGCATGCTTTCCTCTTTACCCTCTCCTCCCCAATCCTGTTGGAATGTATCTCATCAGTAATTAGGTAAGTATTAACAATAACTGTAAGCTAGCATAGTCACCCTCCCCCTTAAAATGGAGGGAGAGCAACAGCATCAAACAAATTCCCATTTGTCCTGACATGTGTAACCTTTCCAGATCCTATAGAGCAATCATACGCAGGCATTTTTCATACTAGAATTTAAAGGAGTCAAAGCTGGTAAAGAAACTGGATGTTTCCTGGCCTAACTGAAGGAAATAATAAAACTGATTAAAGTAAGAGCGAAAGAAAGTAAGCATTAGTGTGTTTACATCCTCTGGTATGTCCCACTTCTCTACGTTCTGCTCACAAGCCCTTTCCATACTCTGAGCAAGCACTCCCAAACTTAGAGAGGTAAGGCTTCAGCTAAAATCTCATGCTTGAGATTTTAAATTTTTTTTATAAATACCAACGGTAAGTATTTGACTTTACCGGATCCGTGTGGGGCATGTCGAGGGCGAGGCTTGTTAAGTGAACCAGCACAGGAGAAGATTGGACAGGGGTGTAATCTCACAGGACAACAACAACTGAACGATGTCCGTAAGCATGGCGCTAGCTTAGTGTGTATGTCGCACCGGGGAGCTTGGATGAAACCCTCCAGCTTTCTGGGTGTCCAGTCAGAACCAGGGAAGCTGCAAGAAGTTTTACTGTAAAACTCCAGTACTGAAATGTCTAAAGGAACTGGGCCTTTAACTTCAATGGGCACTGATTTTAGGTTTTGCACAGTCAATTCTAGTTAAAAACCGAAAACTTTAACAATAGCTGATGCCCCTGCTGTTGGAGCCTTAAGACACCTGTTATACTGCTGAGCCCTACTCTTTTTTTTTTTTAATAAAACACTGTTTTAAGATACAGCACAATAAATGTGCTTATTACGCACTCTAACATAGAGCACAGAAATTCAACACTACAGAGTGCAAGTCTAACCATCTCCACAGTGGGAAAAGTGCGAAGGTTAAAAATATGCATGTGGCTTAACACAAGATATTTTTAAAAAACATGACATGGATATCTCATACTAATGCTTTCATCTTTATCACAAACATGACTGAAAACTCAAGGTCAGTTGCTGATCCTTCTCGTAGTAGTAGTAGTAGTAGTAGTATGATCCTTTCAAAGGTACAATGTTGGAAAGATCAGAGAATAAAAATACCAAGTGTCCAAAAATGATCCCATTTATCACTTTTCCAGTAGTTATGTTTTTCAAGAAGTAAACACGTAAGGTCACCTTGATCTTTGCCATCGGTAACTGATACACTCGGAAACAGCTAAGCCAACCACCTGGACTGAGATCAGTTCGGTGTCGCACACGCACACACACACAGATACACACACAAACACCCCACAGGAAAAAGTGCACTTTCAATTGCTGATACAAAAATAGATTGGCACATTCTTTTTGACACAGTGAAGATATCCTCTTGAAAAGCTTTTTCACGTTAAGAAGTCCTCTTGGAAGTTGCAGCAGGTCTGTAGAAAAAGCGCTATGAGAATGCACCTCACGTGGGCTTCCAGGGTTTGTGTGATGGAGAGAGGGGTGGTCATGGAGGCTGCCCTTGAAATTTTTGCCTACTTTTGTAGCTGTAGTCCCCACAGGTAGGGTCAGTCGCCACCCAGTTTCAGCACGTTAACCATTTACCAACAGCTCAGTCTTCACCTGCTTTGAGAAAGTAACGCTACGTAAATTTGTCAAAGCTGAGAGTCTTACGTCGATGCAGTGTTTCCTATATGTTGCCGGAAAAACTGTTTTGGGGAGAGAGAGAGTGAAGTGTTAGGAGTCCGATTTTGCGTTTCCAGTAGTAACTGCGGCTCAGGAGAGCCAAGCAGGAACAGTCAAGAGCCCCTTCCCCGCAGGGCAGCCAGCGCTAGGAGTTCTGCACCAAACGTCTGTAGTGCGGCATCACTTCGTGCTCGGGAAGGTGGAGAGCAAACTCCAAGGCCACCAGCACCGGGAACTCAAAGGCGATCAGCTCTCGCCTGTTCAGCCGGAATTTCTCTTCCAGTTTCTGCAACGACAGCCGAGGAAAAAAAACCAATAAAAAAAAGTCTTTGTGAATGAGGATTTGACTTTCTAGTGCTTTCTTACAGAGGACATTATTCAAAACATGTGTGCTGCTGTCATTAAACCTCTGCCCTGCTGGACTTGCATGGCTCTAGGTTCAGAAAATGAGAGCAGGATGAACTGGATGTACTGATTCCTTACTGTGAAGGTGAACTTAAAAAGCTCAGCCAGCTATGCTATTCCACCTCCAGCAGATACGCCTTCTAACGATCATAGTGATTACCGCTGCAGGAAGAGGAAACTCCTGGCTTCATGCAAACATCGAAATCACTTGTGTAATGGAAGACATGCGTCTTGTAACTGCCCACAAACTTCCTGCGCTGCTTGAAATCATTAATTTTCCTTTCAGCATTAGACAGTGTTACAACACCCTATTGGGGAAATTATTTCTGCTACAATTAGATACATTTGATCTTAATACCTCAGAGGCAGAAGGTGTCATCTGCAACAACCGTAAGAATAGTGAGTAATAGAAACTACTATCTTCAAGGGGGATGAGATGGGTTTCATAGTTGGTTTTCTCCTGTAACATACTAAACCTCCCATCTGCTCTGCTGTTTTCACTGGATTTAGATGCTACAAGTAGGCAACCAGCTGTTCAGGGGTATTTCCCCCCCGTCATCCTCTTATGATCTCCCTGGCTTGCTACTTCTCTGCCCACTGGGTCTACTGAAAAGCTCAATGTGTCTTAAGTTGGACCAATGTTTCAGGACAGCAAGAGAGGCCAGATCTTCCCACTCTCACTGGGTTGATTTTTTTTCTGGTTATTTAGAGGGCTTTCTTACAAACTGGCTGTCGACCCAGCTCTGTGACTGTGGCAGAAGGGCATGAGGCCAGTTCTGCCCCCCAACCGAGTTTCCATGTCTCTTGAGCTGAGTGAGTTGGTTGTAGCCAAGTACCTAGCTACCTGCCCTAACTTTCTGTAGCATTAAATCAGATTGGTATCTCAGCGCTTGCAGACGGATTATGGAATAACACTCCCTTCTGTTAACTCTTTCCTATGGAGTGGCTGGAAGACCAAACACCTTACTCTACAAAAAAACAGTTGGAGTGAGGTGTTATAATGGGAACATTTCTTTACGTTTTCTTGCCCAAAAGCTTAACTTGATGAAAGAAATACTTGGTAGTCTTTTAGACTCCCTCTGAAATTAGTATCTGCATTTACCTCTCAAAGGAGAGCCCTTATTGACACTCTTGAAAACATAATTAAAAGCAAAATGAATTTCCTGAGCGTTAACTTTTGACTTATATTGACAGAATGGTGGTCAGATACCTCTCAGACCTCACAGTATCTGACACCAGGGTCTTCAATCACATCAAACGAGCTTCCCACGCCTCTACAGTGACATTGATCACTACTACTGCCACATAAATGTATAACAAAAAAAGGTATTTAGCTGGCTGCACAGCTGGAAACCTAGAGGAGAGTGTGACGACTGACAAGCAGGCTTGTGCAGACCACACGCTGGCACTTCACGTAGAAGGAACACTGGAAACCTATGGATACGTACATCTATAAGATGCTTGACTTCATGTTTTCTGAGGTCACTGCCAATTTTGGCTGCTAAAAGAACACAGGCTCCAGCACAAAGCTTTCTATTCTGCTTGTTCAGCTTCCCCTTGAGAGCGAGCTTCTCAAAGTAGACAAAGGCCATGGCCACTGTGGGCTCTTCAAAACCACATTCTTCTTGAGCAAGCTTGCGCATTTCTCTCTTCAAGCTGAGTAAAGAGACCAGACAAGTATGCCGTGAACTGCGTTTTAAAGCATTTCTCATTCCACCCTAAGAGTCATCCTTTCAGAGATTCCTGCTTAGTCAAATGGAGGGGAAAAGGAAAACCTAATTTACTGGGCAGATATCTTTATGCTCTGTTTGGGGACACATTTCACAGCACATTTTGACCTCACCCTTCCCCCTCACTGCCCCCAATAGATAGTTGCGTCAAACTATAAAAGCAACTGAAAAGCTTTGACATTTTTAGTAACAATATTAAATCAGAGTTCTTAAGCTGCATACAATTTATTTAGTAACAACAGCTTGATTGCTTGTGCTCTATATGCAGCTTTGCTGCTGGTTATGGTTGGTCAAATCCAAACCAACAGTCTTTCCATGTACTGCAGTATTGTCTGGTTACAGAGCAACACGATTCAGTACCCTTCTGGCCACTTCAGTCAAATGAAATTATCATTACTTCAGTGAAGCAGTAGGTCTAGCCTGCTACACTGGAAACAGTGATGAAATACTACAACTTCAGCTGCAAAGCTGACCACTTGTTTTGCTTCTGGCTGTGCTCTCTGGACAACGCACAGAAGTCAGCATTTCTCTTTCCTCAGTCTCTTTTTAAGCCAAGTGCCATGAGCTTAGAGACTCTGTTATGTTATTTTTCTGGATATTTTAGTATTAGGGCATGCCCAGCTCGCATCGTCATCCCATTAGATGCCGCGTTTGACACCTGACCGGTGCATGTTTATACGTTCCCCTATCTTGTTTACTCAGCCCACTAATCAAAGCAATCACGTGACTTATTCTGCACCTCTGCCGGTCACTGCTCCTGGAAGATCAACCAGTGCTGTGCTTCCCCTCATGTACAGCAGCAATTGCACTGAAATGTGAGACAGCTGCATCACGCTGCAGCCTTACCAAGCTTTGCAACATACCTTCTTATTTTACTGAGGGTTAACTTGATGTGAGGGAACTTCTCCTTAAAGGTCTCATTCATGTCCTTCTTGAGATCTGATGGCTTCACGTAGTCTATGACTGTAGTCTGTTACACGTGGTCAAGAGAGAATTGCTCTTTTAGTTTGTAACAAACAAGATCACTCAATTCCCAAAAGCAAGGAATACATTACAAGTGCCAATCGGTTCCAATGTCTTCACTAGAGGGGAAAATTAAGTCTGAATTAAGGCAACAATTTGTTTGTGACTTCTCTGTCAGAACAAGCGACCTGAAATCTGAGACGACGGGTCAGCACAAGCCCAGAACAATACATACCTTATTAGCACCCTCCAAGTATCGCTAAGAGTGAGTTTAAGCTAAATGTGGGTGGATAAAACCTAGCTCAGAAGTCTTGTTAAACAAAAAAAATCATCATAATAACTGATTTATGACCAGATTTTGTGTGCATATCTCCATACGGTTCTGAGACATATTGTGAGTTTCTCTCAAATTGATTCTTCAGAGGAACCACTGGTACAAATTCTTGACTGCCATAGTGTACGTTTGTGATAAAATAGGTAATTAGCCTATAAGGCAGGTCATTCAGTAGAGTGCAAGATAGTAATGCTGTCGTAAGTTAGGCAATAAGTGGACAAAAATGTTGAGTTAGGACAACATTCAAAGTGTACAGTTTATTTCCTTTACGTTGAGCTTGCTATTCCTTTTTGTCACAACCTAAAGAATTTCCTCAAGTAGCAGAGGGTCCTCCCAGCCAGTACTGCAATGCCAGCGCTCGCATCTATGGGTGTGCAGCACTTCTCTCGTTCCTTCAGTCTTCATTCAGGAAGCATTTTACCCAAATCCTCTGTCACCACACACGTGGCCAAAATCTATCAGCTGGACAACAAACCAACCTTCATTTTGGGCATGTGCCAGTTCCCTTCCTGGCTTTGGCTGTTCTGCCCCTCGGACAGAAGGAGAGAGGAGCCCCAGCTTAGGCAGCCAGGGGACAACCTGAATCCCAGGCACCCAGCTCCCGGCCAGCTTCAAGCACGGACAGTGGGAGAGCAGCAGTCTGCAGTGCATTCTCCTGCCAGTAAAATAATTTTTCCCTTCTAATTTCTGTTTATGATTAACCTATATTATGGCAAAGGGCTGTTAACGCTAAACAAGACGACGTGGAAAGAGGCAAGCAAAACACTTGTATGTTATGCCTTGCTGAAGACGGAGCCTTGCTGTATTATATCCTCATGGGAATCTACATCAGCCAAAAAGACTGACTGCATATGCTTGCAGGTTTTTTCAGTAATTAAAATAGTATATGGAAGGGCTGGGGGAGGAGAAAGTGTAATGGCTCTAGAGAGCAATTGGACAACTCTTTTTATCCGATCATGTTCTTGTCTGGACCTGAAATGAGCAAGAAGGGGATTAAAACACACCTAACTTTTCCTGCACTTTATTTAGGAGATATGGTACTGAAATAACGGATGATTACAGGAATTTAAAAGAAAGCAGAACATGTGTTTCCCCTGAATAGCACACAGCAATATTTGAGGTAAACATACTGTAATAGAGAGGAAAAAAACAACTTCTTGCCACGGGGTCATAGACACGTCTTAAAATGTGGGCCATTCTGCTATCATCTGATTTGCAGTGTGAGAAGCATCATCTGTCCAGATAAATTACTCCCCACTACATCCTGGCAGGTAATTCTGCTGGGCAGGTCACGCACAACAGTTGCCTGACATTTTCCTAAGTATAAATGCTTGTAAGCCCCCTCCAACACAGTTACGTGCTAGGCACCGGTCCAAATTTTGCTCAATAAAGGGGGATAGTTTATAAAGGAAATTCAGTCCTGTTACGGAAAGCTGCCAGTTCTAAGAAATCATTAAAAAGGAGAAAGCCACATCAACCCTCTTCAGCCACCCTGCTGCCCTGCATGCGTATGGATGAGCTCCAGCGCAGGTCCGGGCAGACGCTGCAGTGCCATTGAGGTTAAAAATTCATACGCTGTCTTGATGCTGAGGCAGGCAACGCGCTACCACACCTGAATAAAAGGAAGAGAAGACAAGACAGGGAGGAGAAACCTTGCCCTACCGCAGGTTGGAGAGAAAGGCTTCAACTGAACGTGTGGGTCTGCCTGGTTTTACTCTTGCTGAGGTGGGAAGGATGTACGCATGCACCCGTGCAGCCACGGCTCTTCGTCACAGACAGCTTCTCACGTGCTTCATCTCACCTGGCAGGGCTCAGCCCTCCGAAGCAGAAGAATGAAGATTTTTACCAATTACTCCTCTCCTTTCTTTCCCTGGGACATCGCTGCCTGCCTGCCTACTCCTTGGTTTTGTTGCCAGAGGATCATCAGCAAGTTGGGTGCTTCTGACACACAGATACGCTGGGAGTTTTATGTGTTATTAAGAGGGTTCCTCTTAGTACTGCTATAAGAGGACTATTGAAACAAGCCACATAACGTAATTTAGACCAGTGCCATCTGCTACTCAAAGTACAGAAGCATCAGTCCATGTTGCTCCTACTTACAGAGTCAAGAGACGCTAAGCACATAAAGGTTACCCGCTATTAAATCCAAAGATGATTTTAGTCACTACCAGCATTTTTTGGTTGTCTTGGGCAATCCTAGAAAGACTGAGCTCAGTGCTACTGTGCAAAGCTACATGACACCTTATTTTGTGCTTCACTGCAAACCTAACTGCCTGCTGTTTGCTCTCCATTACCACGGAGCTCCTTAGTTTTATCTTAATTATCTCCCTCAAAGTGATCATGGTTTTTCTGGCAGACTTGCATTTGGCTCTCTCCGGGTAATCACCTTCCCTCGCACAGAGGAGGATGCAATCACGCACGAACCTCGCCTGCACAACAGAAACCCGACCATCCTCTGGACTCAGCTGCACAGAAATTACACCGGACAGCAAGTTTCAGTTGCTTTCACCTCTAACAGTAGGTGCTGGTGTGACCCCAGCTTTGGGGGGGACTGCGCAGAGGGGGAGTGAGCCCTGGGCTCTGCCACACAGCAGGAGCAGCCCCTTGGGGTGCACCTTTCCCCACGGCCGCTCTGCAGGCACCGTCTGTTTTACCTGGGACTCCTCCAGCCCGTGGGAGATTTGCCAGAATTCAGATAAATTCTCTTTAGAAGGAGAAAAGCTCTTTTTTCAAATTTTATTTAAAGCAAAGCACTCAGAGGCTTTAGAATAAGCAGGCAGCTTAAAACTGAAAATGGTAAGGAGGTACGGCTATTTTTAAACAGAGAGGTTTGTCAATTTTGTCCTGTTGATAAGAATCTCCCCCCCGCAACTCCGTATACTGCTGCTTCCTGCAAGACAACAGTCTCTACGATATAAATCACAATAATGAAATCCAGATGAAAGCTGGTGTGTGCTGGTTTTGATTCATGTAACAGGATAACGGCAGCATGTTTGAACACACTGGCTCTAAGGCAGCTGTCTCATCTTGTCAGTGCCATGCTGGAGAGCTCAGCTAACTGCCCTTATTCTCAAGAAAAGGAATTGTGTAACTTCTTTTTTTTTTTCCCTTGATTTTTCTTTTCGTAGCTGTTGCAGAAGCCCAACTTTGAGCAGTGGGATGCTGTTTGCCCAGCTGGTGCCTATAGAAATGCACGCATGTGGGACCCTGCCCACCAGAGAGGCAGGCAGCAAAAAAAAAAAAGAGTATCTGTTGACAGATAATTTAAAAGCAATGCTGAATTAGTGCCTGTTGAGTGACCAAATCAGTCACTCTTCTGTTTCTCACCAGGCACCCAAGCACCCCTCTCGCTGTCACGCTGTGGCTGGGGCACAGCACCCATGAGGCTACACAGAAATCCCAGTCCCCGACCCCGCTCCTGCCCAGGGCACCTCCCGCACCCCGTGAACGGCTCAGCACCGAGCAGCCACCCTCCGCCGCTGCCCCTGCCCACGAGGGACGGAGTGGAGGAAACCTCTGGGGTGGCCCAGTGACCCACAAGGACTGGCTGGGATCTGACCTAACGTCACCCTTCGCTGCCTGCTCTCTGCTCAGCGTTTACGCTTCTCTTCTCTGTTTTAGGCCATGTCGTTGCGCTTGAGCTGCCTGCAAGTCCCAAATGAAGCCGCCACGTTGAGGAGAAGCCATGACTGTAAACGGCGTGGATTTTTGTCTGTCCAGGACAATTCTGGTATTGCCCGTGTAGGAGCACCGTTCAACACCAATGCGCCAAATTTTATGAAGGGTTTGCAAATATTTCTCTAAAAGGAGCACAGCATTTTTCTGTCCAAACGTGCTTTCTTATACATAATGTTATTCCCTACCAGGCAGGCACTCTGCACTCCCAGAGCTGTCAGACACACGAGCAAGGCTGGGAACTACCAAACTGTCTCTCTCATACTCTAATCTCGAATGTTTGTAACTTCTGTCATCCAGAAATGTCTGTCTTGTTTCTCACAGCTTATTTGCACAAAACACATTTCACTTCAGTATTCAGCAATACTCCTTCGTGAGCTCTGTTCACGTTCTCTGTATACAAATCTGTGTATGTATATTTTAGTTTGGCGATGGAAGTTGCACAAGACAAATGAAAGCCTTGATATATGGTAGCTGACAGATGCCTGGACAACATGATGAATGCTTCGGCCGAAGTCTGTACTCTGCACACTCTTTGCATGGCTGGCAGTTTTGAACTTGGAGGTTAGCTTGTGTGCTATTCACAAGCGTTTTCAAGCAGCTGCTTTCTCATAGGAAAGCTGTATATCTAGTTTCATAAATACAGGAGGAGGGAGGATGCCTGAAATGGTTGGAAAGACTGGCAAGATGAAATATTGTTGAAAATAAATCCTACTTTGGCATGCTACCAGTAAAAGATGATCTAGCCTTGGATGCCTCTATCTCTCGCTTAAGAAGGATAAAATCAGAACAAAATAGGTGAATAAAACGAAAGGTATACAATAGGGTCTCTTCAGCTGTCGTTACCGTGTACCCTCTGACAAATCTACTTCACAGAGAGTGGACAGAAGACTGATACTTTTAACAGACTTTCAGTAGGTCAATGGTAAGTCCTCAACCACAAAACAAATGAAAAGAAGTCAATGACTCTGCACTGCCTGGCTACCTTAATGCATACCATAGGTGACCAGCTATGTAGCTATAAACTGTCAGTAACCTAATGCATATACTTACGGCTGAAGATACATATATATGGGAAATCCTGCTAGAGCAGAGGCTTAAAACAGCAATGGAAAATGGGAGAGATTCCTTCTTTACAACAAAAAAAATAAACCACCCAAAAACAAGGAAAAGGAAGACTAAAAGATGATGTTTCCGTTGTTAGAAAGTTATTAATATTCAAGGACTTTAAACGGAAAGATTTAGAATTTCACAAAGCAAATAATCTCAAAACTGCCTCTTTGAATTAAAGTACATGGAAGGATGCCAGTTTATTTTATACCATTAACACACTGAAATAATTCTCAATTAATACAGTGTGTCATTGTTACAGAATATGTGTTTATTGGAGTCTCAGCCAAATATAGCATCAAACGCATAGAGCACAGGGTTGAAATATGAATATATACCACCACTGAGATCCTCCGCTCCCTGAGGCTTTTGGGTACAAGGTCAGCAGCTGATAAAAAAGCAGTCTGGAGATGCTTAATTTACAACTACGGAAACGGCTCGAAGAATAGGGTGACGGCACCGAAGGACGCTGGCTGTGGCAGAGTACTCCTGACCTTGATGCTCCTTGTGAAAGACAGAACAGGGGAGCGAGAGACCGAATGCGCTACATCATCATGCAGGGCTTTTGTTAGACTAAACGGCCAGGGCAGCAAGCAGTTCTAATTTTAAAATCACATTGGAGGACTAACATTTAATAATGCAGCCTGGCTGTGCTCGACACTAGTCCTAGCAAATGCAGGCTGACAGTCAGTCTGCTGTAAGAGCACTGCAGACTTTTGCGACATGCTTTTTTATTAGTGGTGTAGAGATGTCAATTTATTTTGACATAATTAAACCAATGCACTGAAATTTACCCAAACCAATTTCCAAGTGTATCCCTTGGGCACAGATAGATGGATATTGCAGGGATGTTACTACAGAAGGGTCACTCAAAGTCAAAATGCTACTAATCTGGGCTTTTCTTCTCTTGCTGCAAGTTTTGGCAGCGCACAGCAGCCAGCTAACATGCTCCTGTGTTTCTGTGTTACCAACAAAAGCAGGACTGCAGGGTCAGCCTCACGCCTGTTGCAGAGTCTTCTCCTTCTCCACGGAAGGAATTTGTTTCTGCTGGCAAGAATGCAGGAGGCCAGGGAGGCACTGACGAGTTTGGATGTACCCTGGTCAACGTGAGACTCGAGCACAGAAATTACTGCTCTGTCTGGTAGATAAAGTTCCCATTCTAGAGAGATTTAAGAATCTGCAAGAATTCCTGTTTTAGCAGTATCAGCCAGGAAGACATCTGTTAACCATGACATGATGTTTCCCTCCTCCCCCCACCCCCCAGCACGAAATTCTTCTACCTCTTACTGTTTATATTGCGATAGAGATTGTAGACTCTCCTGCAAGGCCAACATAAAGCAAAATAATTTCTCCAGGGTAGACTAGAATTTAAATATGACTAACACAATTAACAGAAGCCGTAGAGTTTGTGTTGGGGAAGTATTGAAGCTGCTTTTTCAGAATCATCCCCTGACAGGCTGTTTGTGGGTTTTACTTTTAGAAATGCGACAGGGAAGTGTATACCCTTTCAAGCTAGGAACTTCGCTGTAGGAAAAGACCAAACCGAAAGCACGTCTCCTTCCCCACAGCTATCTTCAAGGAGGAAGCTCAGCTACTCCTTGAAAACAGCTGAGGACTTGCAGTTAAAAATCCTCTGCAAGTCAGGACTAATTCAGCTCAGTAAAGTTAGAAGACTACAAAGTCAATGCCAGCGATGATAAACTCAGGCTCCAGAAAAATGGAGGGAATTCGAACATAGGCTTGAGTGCTAACTGCACATATTTCAGAGTAAAATCCAAGCAGGACCACACATTTTGCCTGTCCTGTGCCTCCGGATAAAGCCTGCGGTGTTTACTGATGCAGCATTCACACAGACCTCAACGGAGTTTTACCAGCGGAGAAATCCTAGCCTGCAAAGAACGAGCCGGGCTCCCAGGATTAATATCGGTGCATGTAGCCCTATTCTGCAGTCAGCGCCGCAGCCCAGCATCCAGCCTCGCTCATCCACACCACCATGTGTTCACATTCCTCTCGCACACCTTCCCCCCATTAATTGCTCTGACATCCATAAGGGGCGGGGGGAAATATCTACAAGCTTGCAGCTGCCAAGCGTTAATGCTAAATGCTGGCCAAGGAACAAAACTTTAATTACAAGCTGCAGCGCTCCGCACACAAGAAAATGTTCGGAGCTGACATCAGAGCTGCTCTCAGCTGCTCCGGCACTTGCGAGAGGCAGTAATTACAGCTATATTCCGCTCAGGACCAGGGACTGGTTTCAATCTGTGTACAGCAGCTCTACAGCTCTGCGGTCATTTGGCAGAGGTCTCTCAATACTGCGATGGCTGTGCATGGTCAGGAAAAAACCACAGGTATCTCGCTGGCCTCAGACTGCAGTTTGCATTAATTGCAGCATACACCGATTTTTATATCTGGGGAAGAAAATTACTTGAAATTACAGCCTATTATGCTCCTGTTCACACTGATGTGAACTGCAGGGAGGGGGAGTGCCAGCTGAGTCTGCAAAGTCTAATATAGACGCGAGTAAACTCTCCTACATAGCCAACATGGCACTATATTCACCAGCTTGATGCACAAGCCCTCCTTACCCACAGCCCGAGTTGCAAAATCCGATTTAACCTGCAAGCTCCCGGGACACTCTGACACTACCTTTTCTCTCTTCTTGCGGCTGAAGGAAGGACCAGCCCCTTGTGAAATCCCTCAGCCAAGCCCTGAAGAACAACTACCCACTCTTCAGTTTCTTGCAAAGCTGTGCATCTCCTGCGTGGCATCACAGCTATGCTGCTTTGACCAGGGTCAGGCAAAATCCTTGGACCTTGGACAAGAGAGCTCTTGGCACATGCCAGTTATTCTCACCAACAAAAGAAACACAGCACTTACTGTCCTTCAGCCCTTTCTTATATTAGTGCCTGCCTTCAGAGAGGGAGACGTGAGTGCTCCAGACCCTCAGGCTGAAGAAGTGACGGCTGGAAGGCAAATACAGGCAGAAAAACCCAAAATGTGAAATAAGGGATACTTCCAGACACAGCAGTAATTAACCCCTAGAGAAAATGAAAAAGCAGGGAGACCCCTGTCAATGCAGATATACTCTAGCCAAGCAATGACGCTGATTTTAACAATTGCCCTTGAAGTCCATTTTTCAACTTTAAAGCATCTAATCATACCTCTGTTACAGTGGAAATCCCCAGTCAGCTCCTTATTGCAATAAAAGTACCTCCAAATGCTGTGGTTAACCAGCATATGGAAAAGAAGGGCAACGAACACCCGCTCCTGGGCCTCGGAGACCTCCCCTGCAGGTCGCTATCCTGGCTGTCCTATTTTAACTTGCCCAACCATGTCCATCTCGGCACCAAGTTGAAAAGGGATCAAAGACGTTGGGTGATCCTAGAGGACTGAGATTTGCCGGCGCACATTCTCAGCCCGAGGAAGGTTGGAAACACAACCATGACTGCTACAGCTATGTTCACTTTGGATGCCAGTTAACAACATCTTTCTGTTTGAGGGAAGACAGCTCCCTGTCCATGACAATAACCGTATCAAAACCTAACAAATATTTTCCCACCCAGATGTAGCTGCCATAAAAGGTTGGCATTTTGTGGGTTGGTAGCCAAAACATAACTTGCCAACCCCAAAACTGGCTGAAAGTAAGCAGAGGACATGCTGGACTTTCCACTTGAAAATTTAGCACAAACACAGCCTCAGAGCTCGATTAAGCCTTTCTGTACAACAGGCAGAACACTCCTGCCAGCAAGGAGATAAGCTTCAGTCTACATGGAACCCGTAAAATCCATTTATTTTGAAGAAGAAGTACCCAAGAGCCCTATTATCAAATAAAGACCAGGGTGGGGCGCAGAAAAGAACCTACAAAGACTGTATCTTTACATACATTAGTAGTTTCTTAAATCGTATCTCTGTTCCAAGTTAAGTGAGGACATGGACAACACTTTAGACCTGTGTTTCAAATCCTATCCTATTTGTATATAGGTAAGAGTGCTAGGTTGCCACTTTGGGGGGAAAAAAAAAAGCAGCTTTTCCCTGCTAACTACTACTACTTTGGAAGTATAATTCAGACAGATACGTACTCACATGCATACAACAGCACTGCATCTTCCTACAGCCCTGCCAAAATAGCACACCAAAGTCTACAGACTTGGTGCAACCGAAAAAAGGCTACAGAAGTCTCTCACCACAGAAAACATTGAGTTAGAGCACAGATCAAGGAACAGTTATGCGTCTGTATTGTTACAGGGTTTGGATATAGTGGAAAATATACGGGCTCTGCTCGTAATTGCTGCAATTAAAGGAAGGACTATCCCATGGTGAAATAAATACCTGGGAAACAAAGGCTCTACTAGACACCGAAGTGCTGTTCCGAGGACTGAATGATAAGCATCAAAACACAATGCAGCTTCGTGACTTCAGAAAAACCCTAATGGGCATCCTCCTATTTTGTAATAGATGCCAATTAGAGGAAGTATAAATTTTCCTCTGAATGTGAGAGAATGAACACATTGTTTGAACAAGCCTTTCATCTAAAGCATTTATGAAATACAGCGGTAATAAAAGCGTTTACTTTTGTAATACCTCCACGAGTTTGTTTTTACATGTTCTGGTAAGTAACTGTCATTTAGAACAAAGCATTCCAAACAGCTGTTATTAGTAGATTAAAAATAATAATAATCTTCTTAAAATACGGCCAAATGTAACCTCAACCTTCAAAATATTGTTATCAAAATTTATCTGTGCTACACCTAATTTTGCATATCACTTACCATATATGAAGGAAATATTAAAACCCGCTTATGTTTGCCACATGGCCACTGGGGATCATCTAAAAGATTTGGGTCATATTCAACAAAGTCTCCCAGGTCGCTACCTATAAAAGAATGGTAAATATAAGAAAGGAATTCCTTACATCAAGAAACCTCTGGACTTAACAGAAGTGGCAAACGAGTTCACAGATAATGCACAAGATGATCTTCATGCAAGACTTTTGAAAGAGTCGAAAGATTTCTCTAAATCTTGAAAACTCTACTAATACAATTTGCAAAGATACACAGGACCTACAGCTTATGAATTACCTGGTAAATGTGAATTTAGGGCTTAGAGAACTGCAAAATTATATAAAGCTCCACAATGACTTTTATTTCCAGCAACAAGTTTTCATCTGTTTATGCAGATGTTTTCATTTGTTTCATTTAACGTGCCAAAATATCTTAAGCATATAGTGCTTTGGCTTATGTTTTGTGCCCGGTTTTGTAAACACAGCCTAATAAAGGTCACAAGTATGATTTACACCTTCAGCTTATGACTACTGTGTTGCCCCTGTAAATTTTCCATAGCAAAGGAAGGTAACAATGAGCCTGATGCGGGAGGAACAAACAATGCCCGTGACCGGAGGAGGCATGCCGAGTGCCATCAGGGGCTGTCAATACGACCAGCAGTCTTGTTTACTTAACTTTCCATCATCCCTAAGCCAGCTTTGCTAAACAAACAGGGCACGAGCTCTATTTCACCCCCAACATGAGACTACGTTTTGCTTAATTTAAGCAAAAAAGGGGGCTAAAACATTACATATGTCTGTCCTTCACATTAACTGCCTATCACCAGGTTATGCAAGGATATTAAAACAAGCTTCTTGAGAAGTTACCTGCATCAATGCTCCCCTGGGTGCTGTTAGCTCTTGCCAAAGAAAGGCTACGATGGCTTGCATTGCGAAATTGCGAGAAGGATGAGGTGGAGTCTATCGTGTTTCTCCGTGTTCCCAGAGCATTGGTGGGAAATAGGAACTGCGTATAAGAAACGGTCTAAAAAGAAAGTCAGAACGGACAGACAGTTACTACCAGCCCAGCTCGGCCGCAACGGGATGCCTTTGGTGCATCCCAATTGGAAGCAAGGGAAGCCAAATTAGCAAAGGATTTTCTGGATTTAATAGTTAGGCACAGATGAATAAACACCAGTCACCTACATTTGCTTCAGTGCAGCCAGTTTATCCATGCAAAAAAAGCTTTTGCAAAGGCATTAATTCTTCAACAAAACAAAACCGCAAACACACACAGACAAGCTCTAATACACTGGATTTACAAAATCCTACTCAAGGGTCAGATTTAAAAATATGTCAACTTGGTCGGGTTTTTTTAAGTGGGCCTCCTCTGTAGCAGATTTCAGCTCCCTCTTTACCGAAACAGCATCATCTGTATGGGTCCCTCAGCACAGAGCTGCCAGAGGCAAATCACTTGAACCTTGCTAAACTTAAGTACCTTCTCTGGTATTTTTCTCCTTTAGGATTTTGCCTGGCAGAGTCTTATTGGTGTTGTAAGTGAGCTCCAGTTTACAGCAATGGTTGTGGGAGATCATTTACTACCTCCCAACTTGGACTAAGTGTGAATGAATAACTTGTGACAAAATTATTTTTAGAGCGTACTGATTCTCTGCTTGTACCCTTGGAAGGGAATAGGCTACGCCTTGCTTCTCGTAGGTTTATTTTCCAAAAATAACATTATACTGAAGAAAAAAAATGAGTCTCAGACTCTAGACTGGTTTACGAGGAGGTCAGAACAGGTATCAACTAAAACATGTGAGCTTTCATTTATTTATAAGCAGACAGATTGTCCTCAGGAATTTACAGCCTGTGGTCTGGCCTGACACCTGGTTAGGTGAGCACACCATGTGTAGCAGCATTGACCTAGGGACTTTAAATCCATATACGACAGCAGGCTGGGTAAACTGAACTTTAAAAGTAAATCAGGGTTTCAGCAAAAAATGTTTTCATTTATGATTAAAATTGTTTCTCCTCTACGTATTTGTTTAAAATGGATCACTTTCCCTAAAGATTCATAATTGCTTATTCTATTCGAGTGAATGCACTCTTGGATTTTGAAATACTCATCAGATTTGTACTACTGTCTTCCTGCTCTTTGGAAAAATATTCTGTTAAGCAAAATTTATTTTATTAAATAAAATTGAGAGCGAGCAGAGTTACAAGTTACAACTCTCACCAGAAATTCTTTTCAAGTCCCTGACAATACACTCTGCAGTGATACCTCCTGCTAGAGCCAGGGGAAGGCTGCGCAATTCAGTAATGCTTTACGGACTCAGATTTGCCAGAGGCAAATTTCTTCAAGGAGACAGAGTTGTTTGCATTGACAGCTTGGGCAGCCCTCCTGAACTTCTGCTAAGCTTATTTACAGTTTGCGCATACTGTGCTTTAACTAACTACTGTGTTACACTGCATGTTATAATTTATGTTTATATTTGTGCTTGTTATTAGTTAAGCCATTTTTTCCCTTATTACATAAAAGCTAAGGGAGTAGGAACTGAAGCATCCCCACCTTCCCGTCTGCTCCAAGCTCCACACCTTCAAGACCAATTATCTCTTTCAGACACACTCCAGTAGAATGGCACTGGCGTCCACCGTCCAGCTTCATATCCCTGGGAAACAGAAACCAGAGCAGAAACAGCTCTTAGTACACACGCCTTCTTCACCTTCCACCACCCAATGCTGAAATAAGGTAGCAGCATTAATCCAAACATGCCAATGCAAAGCACAGACCAGATAACTTTTCCTACGGGCAGCACTTGTGTTGTCTAAAATACATTATAGAGAAAACCCTCACTTTGTTCCAGGTTGCACCTCATACCCCACTTACGGTTCAGAGTAAGGGTCCCCATCATTGGGTGCCTCTGACAGAACCTGGCACTGGGAAGGAACTGGAAGTCATATACACTTCAGGTGAGATCCAACAATCTAGCTTGAACACTTGACTGCCATGTATCCAGCAGATGGATGCTCCCCGCGCATGTACCCACGTCCTGCTGTCACCCACCTACGCTGTCAGAGGTAACTGCCCGTGAAAGCCTCCGGGAGGGATTCCTGCTCCTCCGAGCGCAGAAGAGTATCCAAAGCCCAGTGACCCTCCTGCCAGAGGCTGGCAGGAGAAACGCAGCTCTCCATCCCCTCGGGATGGAAACTTGGGGATCTACTTTAGAAGGACTGACCCACTCAGCATCTTACACTTGGAGGTAAATGAGATGCCTGAAACAACCAGGCTGTATCCCATGCTTTAGCCTCACGATCAAAGTGTGAGTGAAGGTAGAAAAGACTATGAGCAATTTGTGCTCCACAAATAACAGCTGTATACAACTCCAGATTATTTAATTCGCAATATTCTCCCGTCTGATTTCCGCTGACGTCCAAGTATGTGCTTAAAAATCTGTGTGGGAGAGATGCTGACACTGAGGCAGGCAGAAGCCCTGCAGGCTCTTCACCGGATTGCGGGGCTGGGCTATCTCCTACTGTGTCTCTGCACATCCTGTTTCCTTGTCTGCCCTTTCCAACCTGTCACTCACTTTATTTCTCTGAAACATGGCAATCGGTGAGCCCCCAATAAATCATGTACCTTACTGCTGGAAAAATCCAACACGTCTATCTGCTGGCAAACATACTTCTGCAGCAAAGGAAAAGACTGTATCAAGTTTCTAATCCCAACAAAGTCCTCTTAGTTTTTTGATTGGGGTTCACTTAGCACAGTGTCACATTATCATTCTTGTTTCCTGATATCATGTTAGTGAGGGGCTGTACAAGTAATTATGTAAAAATAACCCTCTGTCAGAGGCATGGGATTATCCTCTCCGCTCTTGTGCAGAACGTGCTTAAAGGAACTATTTCTCATAGAGGTAAATGCCAAATAGTAACCATTTCAGCAGGTCTTACTTACAAAATAAACACAAAACCTGAGGAAGTCCCCAAACCCAGAAATGAAAATAAATATCTGAATTACCTGAAATAGTATCAGAACAGTTTAGTTTCCTTCCACTCAAAACCTTACAGGCATAGAGTAAGAAATAATGCTGTTACGACTTTGAAAACAAGTCACAGAGAAATTTCTCCACGCAATTAACAGACAAGGATAGATAACTGCAATTCATCAGATGAAAATCCGGCACCCTTTGAAGAGTCAGCACAGCAGCTTTAAAAAAAAAAAGAGCAGCTCTGGGGACTGAAAAGAAATCAGTGTTCTGGGAGCAGGGTCAGCTGGCACGTGTGAGCACTCACGGGAATGATTCCTGGACATTAGCTGAAGATCGATGGACATTAATGCCTCCACTTTCCCATCTTTCTGATGTTTCTAAAGAAGACTGTACCTTCAGGACCATGTGAACAACACTGCAGTAATTCTCCCTCATCCTAGGTGTTTTGCAAGGGCTACTTAGGGTCTTCCCCTCCTCTACATATGCTCTGTATTTCTAGGTAGTATATGATTGCTTGCGTTGTAAAACAGAGTAATAAAATATTACTGTTTGGAGAGAAACCTGTCCATAAAACAGAGAATTAAACTCCCTCTCTTGAGGAAAATCAATACTAAACAATGCGCAGTTTCTTATCAGCGTATAAATGGAAAGACTCATCCTAGCTTGTACACATCCTCCTCTCACTGGTAAAAGATCTCAGTGAACACCTAACAAGAAATTCCTAGGCGACTTTACTGTATCCTTTTTGAGTTCCCTATCACTACGATCAACAGCAAGCTAGTCAAGTTTTTGCAGGACAAGCCTTGATTTTTTTCCCTCCCTCCTATTACAGACAAAAAGTTCACGAATGCCTCAGCGAAGTTCTTGCTGGGAGAGCAAGCTCAAGGGCTGCCACCCTGTTGCTGGGGGAGCCCCAGCACAGCTGCTTCCTCCCCACACCCCCAAAATCCCAAGAGCAACTAGGAGAGACCTGGGGGATGCCTCCGCTTTGCCCTCTCCAAACGGGTGAATCGTGCCTGGGGAACAGTCAGGTCGGTTGTTTGGGTACAGCCACCGCACCAGTGCTGCCAACCACCCCCACCGAGTTCTTCAGGACACATGCCCTCCCTTGGCACCACGGTCAATGGGCCCCGCGGGGCAGGAGCATATGGAGGACAGGCACTTCATATTAAAAAAAAATGAAGCTTTCACTGTGTTTAAGTTACTTAGATTACCGATGGGACTGAGGAACTGCACAAATCAATATCCAGTAGTAAAAGGTGCTTACAAAATGTGGAGTAGGAAAGATGGTCCTTGCCAAAGAGGCTTTTATGTGAAGAAAACTTCCTTCCTCCTCTTCCTCATTTTTGATTTTCCTGTTTTATTTTCCAAAAGTGCTTTTTAACAAAGTTTTCAAGAGTTTCGAGCAGACACCGAAAAGCAAAAATAAATCATGGGAACTTCATTTTACTACCTTTTACTACTCTTTATTTGAGCAGGGAAAGCTTGAGGAAATAAGAAGCTCAGGGATGACATTTCCTTAGGAGGCAAAAAACTAGATCCCAGTTTCTGACAAAGTTTGGGGAGTTACCCTGATTTACATCAACGTCAAGCTCTAGATTTTCTATTCGTGCATACCATTTCCAGAAAGCTGAGTAGTGTTACAAACTACACTCAAAACTAAGCATATTGTTTTAGTTATCCAGGAGTGCAGAAAAAAACAGAAGTTTCTCCACCTAACAGAGTTCACAGGTTTTCTTGGAACAGTACCAGGTGACTTGGGATCCCAAATTTGTCGTGGGACGGTGAAAAGTTTTACTGAGCAGGTAGACAGGAATCAAAACAGGACATCTCACCGTGTCTTTTATTAGTCAGGCCAGGATTAACAGAATATAAATTGGATCCTATTACCTTTGGAAGTATAACATTTCTTTAATGAATCAAACATTATGCTTTGACGTGATCTACAAAGCCCCATGCAAGACTCCTGCTGGGCACTTGCTCTTTAAATGACAGCAGCAGCTGAACACTTTAACCTGTGAATAATTTAGGAGTCCATTAAATATTAAATAGATTTCTAGATACAAGAAAAAAGCCTTCTGCTTATTGCAAAAAGGAACTTGATAATTGTTAATTAGAGATGTAAGCCTTTTGTGTCTATATTTTATGCTTAGTGATTCCTGACTGTTAAGATTTATTTTAAAAGCAAAGGTGGTTCATGACACATCAAGAAAAGGTACTATTCTTATCCGTCACTGTAAATAATTTCTACTTATCATCTCTGTTTACAGGGACAAGGACAATGACAGCTTTGGAAAAGACGTGCTGCCAGCCAGTCCAGCAGCAGATCTCCCGCTGCCTGGGACTGCCTGATCGAGAGCTTTCAGATCCTAATTGCCATTGGTGTTGCTAGAACAACAACTCCAGCAGCAATTTACAGGGAGAGGAGGTGGAAGAACTCCTGGAAAGATGGCTCTAACGGGCCAGTATCCTTTTTCTCTCTCCAGATGGATTCAGGTGTCAGCACGTCAGCTCTCGTCCTGATGTTTTGCCCAACACGCAGTAAAAGTTCAAAATTTAAACCTATTAGCTTTTGCGGAGAACAGGGCAACTCACAAAAAAGAAGAACGGTGGCTCTATAAAATTCATACATGAGATGATTAGTTTTGAAATGTCCTGGTGTGGGAAAAAAAACAGATTTATGTGTGTTTCTGTAAAGCTAATACACACTTGGTTTTGTTTTCTGTTCACTTTGGGAGAAGCAAGGAAAATGGGCAATGGTAAAGAAAACCAGGGATATTTCAGTTTCTCTATTATCGTCTCAAAACAGATAGTTATTCTTCCCCAGGCCTACGGAATGATAGATGTTCAGGAAAAGCGCTTGAGATTGATGACTTAATCAAAATTGCCTCACATACAAAAATCTGTTGGGGAAGAATAGCAAGGAACTGGGTAACAAACCTGAAGGATGTAACAGAGTATCCCGCTTTGCTGTGTGCATAATTATTGCGACTATCCTTATGGCAATTTACATGCTCTCATTTCTCCTGTAAATATTCCCCGGTTTTCCACACTCACCGCAATGCTTGTTACCTGACCTGCCAAATAACTGACGGCAGGGGTGCGGCGTGCGAGACAACCTCACCTAAATGCTTCTTCTTGCCTCATTTTGCATACAACTTTCTTAGCCAGTTTAAACCAACAAAGATCTCAGAATTTAGATAATGAAGGCCGTTGGGAATGCCTGGCCTATGGACTCATTGATTGCTGTGGCTACATGTTATTTGGGATGATGGTATTGAAAAGCTCTTGCTCGCAGCATCATTGAACTCATTAGTGTTCTGGCCAGCACTTAGTTAAATTCAAAGTTAAATTCAGCAGTGATTTATCTTTAGAAACTGGATGAAGCTGGTTTGTAGCATTTCTGAGAAGGACACGAATTCTTTTTATCTAACGACTTGCTGCTTTACTTCAGAAGAACGGTCCGTTTCCTGGGCTTCAATCCATTCGATTACTCATATTGTATTATTTCCCCTAACTGGAGGCAAGTTTAGTCAGATAAATACCTATATTCTTGTCAAGACAGCAATATTCAGCAGCTACACCTACTGCAGGTAAGTTTCTAACCACTTAATGAATTCACTGCCATGAAGAATAGAAGACGAGGTGACTGGTTTTATAAGGACACGACTGCCTGATGC